GGTTGAGCTATAGGTGCTGAGCCAAAGATAAAATCTTAAGATACCTATAGAAATCAGTGTATCTTAAATTTAAGTTTATTTTATTTTATTTATTTTTTTTTTTGAGAGAGAGAGTCTTGCTATTGTTGCCCTTGGTAGAGTGTCATGATATCACAGCTCACAGCAACTGTAAACTCTTGGGCTTAAGCGATTCTCTTGCCTCAGCCTCCCAAGTAGCTGGGACTACAGGTCCCCACCACAACCCCCGATTGTTTTTTGGTTGTAGTTGTTATTGTTGTTTGGTAGGCCTGGGATGGATTCAAACTTGCTAGCTCTGGTGTATGTGGCTGGTACCCTAGCCGCTGAGCTACAGGCACTGAGCCTCATGTTAAGTTTAGAATAAACTAATTTTAACACAAATGATCTACAAGGAAAAAAAAAAGCAAACAAGGAGAAAAATTCCCCTTTTGTTCCCATTTGAAAGACCAAACAGCTAGACAATGGGAAAGGCAAGCGATATCTAGCTTGCAAAGTCAGAGTAGTTTTTAAAAATTGTATACTGGTTTCCTTAGTTAGTGAAAGCTGCTAACAACCAATCCTTTGCCTTAAACTTTCTTCCTCTCACCCTGCTACCTCAAAACACTCAAAAATAGGAAAGAACAAAGTCTCTTAAGTAAAAAGTACAGACTATGGTCAATAAAATAATACTGCTATGATTTATAGTCATTTCTTCAAAATAAACCCATTTTGTAGAAAGGAGATTATGGACTGTAAAAGAACTAGTCTCTAGGGGCTAGGTTCCAGAAACTTCACACTTGCCAATAGAAAACTGAAGGTAAGAAAAGAAAGCAAAGCATTCTACAAGCAAAGTGCCTCATAAATATTTAATGGTAATAATACCCTTGCTTGTGTTTAAGATCTATTAACCACATCACCATTTTTTGTAACTAGTTTATTTTTATGTTTGTTTATACAGAACTAACACAAGTTAATTTCATTCTTAATTCAGAAAATTAATCTTATGATTATAGAAAACTTACTAACTTGTAAAATTATCTGAGAAAAAGAAATGCAAATATCACAAAAAATTACTCTTATTTTCATGCACATGTGTATTTCTCCATAGCAGATTTTTCCTGAAGTTTTGGAGGGAGATGACAGCAAAACAGAGAACTGAATGTTACATATTAATGAATTTAAAAATCTACTGGCTAGTCTCTTTCATTATTCCAAAGTGTCACTAGCTATATCATGTTATTGCCATCTTCTTAGGACTCTCAAGACTCTTTCCTTCTTCAACATTCCAAACCTATTTCCTTTATGGAAGAGCATTTTGTAATAGCTCTCTACCCTTTATACGCTTCACATTTCAGCTTTGCTAGTCTCCTTTACCAATTCATTCTAGGTAAGCTTCACTTATTTGGTAGTACTTATATGTACTTCAAAAAAGAAAACTGAAGAGCAATTAAATTTACCTGGGAAGCCTATTAAATTTGTGCCTGACAAGAGCACACTTTCCACCACACTTCTCACAAGAATACTCAAGTTCTTCTGCCTATACAAAGAGGGAAAAATAAAGAAGCATGAAGTTGAATTGAATCAACATTAAATTCAAATAATCTTTTCTAGTTTTATTAGTTCAGTGGAATGAACCAGTTTAAATTTTGTATCTAGAACCATAAGCCTTACCAAATTAAGACATAGTATTCAAAGACTACTTATCTTATATGACATGCTTAAGACATAGTATTCAAAGAATACTGATCTTAACATCTAATTTCTAATTCAGAATTCCCAATTTCTCCTTTTATCAAGGAAACACTTAAATTTATGATAGTAACTAGACTCTAGCAGATTCCCAACCTTTTCCCCATGGATACATGTGAACCAATCCCAAGAATATATCCAGATTTTAACATGTGGTTGTAGTAGAGATAAGATCACCTTTGGGTTAGGCAAAGTTTTCGGTCTGTTCTGTGTAATGCTGTCCCTTTTTTACAACTGAACTCAATCTTCTAGTGATAAGCCACTAAGAATAACTGTTCTAAAAGGACCAAATCTGAGGGTAGATATCATTACCTAGAGAAAACTGAAATAAGAAATTCTTTTTTTTTTTTTTGAGACAGAGCCTCAAGCTATCCCCCTGGGTACAGTGCCATGGCATCACAGCTCACAGCAACCTCCAACTCCTGGGCTCAAGCGAGTCTCCTGCCTCAGCCTCCCAAGTAGCTGGGACTATAGGTGCCCGTCACAATGCCCGGCCATTTTTTTTTTTTTTTTTGGTTGCAGCCATCATTGTTGTTTGGCGGGCCCGGGCTAGGGATTCGAACCCGCCACCTTAGGTGTATGTGGCTGGTGCCTTAGCTGCTTGAGCCACAGGTGCCGAGCCGAAATAAGAAATTCTTAAAAATGGGGGGCAGAGGGTGGTACCTGTGGCTCTGTGGGTATGGTGCCAGCCCCATACAATGAGGGTGGTGGGTTCAAACCCAGCCCTGGTCAAACTGCAACAAAAAAATAGTTGGGTCAGGCGGTGCCGGTGGCTCAAAGGAGTAGGGCACCAGCCCCACATGCCAGAGGTGGCGGATTCAAACCCAGCCCTGGCCAAAAGAAAAAAAAAATAGTTGGATGTTGTGGCGGGTGCCTGTGGTCCCAGCTACTCGGGAGGCTTGAGGCAGGAGAATCACCTAAGCCCAGAAGTTGAAGGTTGCTGTAAGCTGTGTGACGCCATGGCACTCTACCGAGGCTGATAAAGTGAGACTCTGTCTCTGCAAAAAAATTAAAAATGAGGGGCAGGATACATAGGACAATCTTGAAAGTCTATGAATAATAATGGAATAGTAAAACAAAAATGACTAAAGTAAAAAGAATCAGGTAGAATTGAATGTGTATTATTTAAAGGACAAATTTTTTTAATCTTAGGAAGATAACTCTACTAATTTGCTATAAATAAGGATCACTGCTATATACACGATGGGGATCTTGGCAAATTTCCACCAGAGCACTGCTACAACAGAGGTCTAATTATGCATATACAAACTTTCTCAGTATCTGTAACAGTATTATCATAGACCCAAATATTTATCTACAGCTTTGGATAGATATGATTCTTCCTTCTGTTTCTAACAAAGTACATATAACCTAAGAAAAGCAAGTAGTATTTTTTCATTTCTCAGATCTTAGTATATCAATTTATATGATATCTATAATTCTAACTCACATTACTGAGTTTTAGTATATGTAATTTCAAATACTTTAAAATGTGCTTACAAATAACACATTGGTTCTACAGTTCTCTAAAAAAACACTTGCTACTGGAGCAAAATAATCTAAGCAATCAATTGTTCCATGAGTTACAATTAGATTTACCAACCTTTTAAAAAATGTTATTTATAAATACTTCTCATGTATTATCCCCACAAATAATTCTATTGAAACTATGTATTGAAAAAAATTTTCAAATACAATTATCTATGACATATAGAATTTAGGTATGTGAAAATACCAAAAATATTACTTACTCTAAAGAAAAGATCAAGGGAATCTTGAATTGAACGAGGAGGGAGTGGTTTTTTCCTACGAGGAAGGTCAATAGAGAGGTCATTAAACTGTTCTCTTTTTGGAATAATCTCTCCACATCTGTAAAAATAAAAGTAGGCAGATATAAGCATTTATAGCAATGCAAAAGAAAATACAAATATACACTTGAAAAACACTGTTCTCTCATGGAACTTAAGGTAATGACATACTATCACTGGGCATATGAATTATACATTTAAGACTTTTCTCATGCTTACTAATGTAATTTAATATAGATAAAACCTTAACTGGAAATATTAAGTACTTTCTTAAAATGCTAAATTTCACATTTTCAAAACACCTCAAACTTAAAAAAAATTAAAGCGTAACATACAAAGTGAACCAGTTATCTTTGTACCGCATGATGAATTACCAGTTAACATACCCATATAATTAACACTCAAATCAAGAAATAGAATACTATAACTCCTTAGAAGACCCCTCACAAATCTTTTCCGCATCACTACCCTCTTCCTTCTCCTCAAAGATAACAATTATTCTGACTTCCAACACTGTAGTTGAGGTTTGTCTGTTTTTGAACCTTATACAAATGGAATTACACAGCACGTTTTTCCTTTAAATGACTTGGGTTTTTTTTGGTTTTGTTTTTTGAGACAGAGCCTTAAGCTGTCACCCTGGGTACAGTGCTGTGGCATCACAGCTCACAGCAACCTCCAACTCCTGGGCTCAAGTGATTCTCCTGCCTCTGCCTCCCTAGTAATTGGGATTACAGGCACCCACCACAAAGCCCAGCTATTTTTTGGTTGCAGCTGTCATTGTTGTTTTGCAGGCTGGGCTGGATTCGAACCCACCAGCTCAGGTGTATGTGGCTGGTGCCTTAGCTGCTTGAGCCACAAGCACAGAGCCTTAAATGACCTCTTTTTGTTCAACAGGATTGTTAAGATTCAACCATGTCTGCAGCACATGACTTCAGTGCACTTTCATTGTCATCTAGTATTAGTCTGTATGAATATTCCATAGTTATCCATATTATTACTGATGGACATTTGGAATACTTCCAGTTTTTGGCTACATGAACAATGCTGCATTGAAAATTCTATGGTGCACATGTCACATGTGTAGACACTTCTGTTAGGTAGTAGAATCAAAAGCAAGACCACATCATCTCTATCAAAAATTGAAAAATTAGCTGGGCATTGTGGTGAGTAGCGGCTGTACTCCCAGCTACTTGGGAGACTGAGGTAGGAGGACTTCTTGAGCCCAGGAGTTTCAGGTGTTGTGAGCTAAACTGATGCCACAGCACTCTAGCCTGGGGCAACAGAGTGAAATTCTATCTCAAAACAAATAATTGCCTACTCCTTTCCCCTCCCAATTATGCCATTCCCAGAGATAGTAATGGTATAGACAACAAAATGGGATGGAGATTCAGATGTGAGAGGTTTTCAAGGCCAGGGATGTTAGTAAGAAAGAAGACTTGGCTCAGTGCTTGTGGCTCAAGCCGCTAAGGCGCCAGCCACATACACCTAAGGTGGCGGGTTCAAATCCAACCTGGGCCTGCCAAACAATAATGGCTGCAACCAAAAAAATAGCTGGGTATTGTGGCGGGCGCCTGTGGTCCCAGCTACTTGGGAGGCTAAGGCAGGAGACTTGCTTGAGCTCAGGAGTTGGAGGTTGCTGTGAGCAGTCAAGCCATGGCACTCTACCCAGGGGGACAGCTTGAGGCTCTGTCTCAAAAAAAAAAAGAAAGAAAGAAGACTTTAGAGTGGAAAACGCTCTGGATGAAGGATGGCATGACGAAGGAGGGAAGCAGATTTCGCTGGGGGAAAGCACCACATCCTTCTGCACAGAAAGTGAGGCTATTTGATCCTGTCCTCTGCCCTTTGAAAGGTTAGTCCAAGCAACAGAGAGTCTATGAGAGAGACAGACAGAGACAGAGAGACAGGAGGTAGGTGGGGTGGCGGGGGAGAGGGAGAATGCACAAGCACTTCAGAAAATCACTTATCTACTGGGGAAGAAAGACTGAAGAAATCATGAGAGAAGGCAAGAAATGTCACAAACCAGTGGTACAAAACTATTATTTTTATTAAAATTGTAGTAAAAAATATTAGAATGTTATAGCCAGAAAAGATGTCAGTGAACACTATTATTTTGAGCAGCCTATGAAAAATAGGTATGGAAGACAAAGAAAAATTCCAGAATAAATGGAAGTAGTACCATGTTTCCCCAAAAATAAGACCTACCCCCAAAATAAGCCCTAGCAGGATTTCTATGCATTTGTTAAATATAAGCCCTACCCTGATAATAAGACCTAGTGATGGGCGTGGCTATGCACCATATCGGCCATGCATTTCAGCACAGAGAGGAAGACATCCCCTGAAAATAAACACATCCCCTAGTGTGTTTTCTTGAGAAAAAATAAATATAAGACAGTGTCTTATTAGGGAGGAAACATGAAATCTAGGAACAGTTTCCTTAAGCTGAATTAAAAAAAATCTTCAGTGTAAAGGCTCTACTATCTTAAAGGCAATGTTAATAGAAAGTGTGAATAACTAAGTATAAACTAGTGAAACTGTAGATTTCAAAAATAAACAATGCCACAAATTTTCATTAAGGAAATAAACCACAAAGCCAGGTTTCTTATGAGTCTCACAGAGTACAAGGAACAAGATATGATGGGGTAGTATATAATTTAATTGTGTTAAGAGGGGAAGACTATGTGTAACTCAATAATTCTATATTAAGAATGTTTCATGGCTCGGCGCCTGTGGCTCAAGCGGCTAAGGTGCCAGCCACATACACCTGAGATGGCAAGTTCGAATCCAGCCCAGTCCTGCCAAACAACAATGGCAAACCAAAAAATAGCTGGGTGTTGTGGTGGGCACCTGTAGTCCCAGCTACTTGGGAGGCTGAGGCAGGAGAATTGCTTGAGCCCTGGAGTTGGAGGTTGCTGTGAGCTGTGATGCCACAGCACTCTACCTAGGGCAA